TTCACGAACTCCAGCAGGTCGAGCCCGGTCTGCACGGCCTCGACGCCGTTGGCGCAGCCGAGGGTGATGTGGGCCCGGCTGCCCCGCGGCAGGTTGTCCGTGGGCAGGATCTTGTCGGCGTCCCCGGGCCAGAGCGGCAGCTGCTGCTCGCTCAGCTCGATGCGAGCCCCGACAGTCTTTGTGGTGATGAACAGCGCCGAGATGGAGAGGGTGAAGCCTTTGCCGTAGGAAGCCTTGACGGCCTGGAGGAGAGGGACACACACGTGGAAGCGTCAGTGCCTGCGGGTGGGGATTCACCGTCCCCAGGCTCAGGGGAAATGTGGCTGCTCACAGTGGGTTTGGGGCTTGGGTACATCTTTATCCTTCGCAAATTGCAGTATTTTACTTGGGCTTATCTGCTCTGAAATAATCTGTCTGGGAGAGTCAATACCTCAGTTCATCATCCTTCAGCTCACTCTGCTGGAGATGATGCTGGAGGGGAGGGTGTGATGGTGGGGGGGAGGTGGGAGTATTTTGTTTGGAAATAGGAAATAATCATCTACACAATTCTGAGTCTTCTGCTCATGCCACATGGATGTAGTTCCTGTCCCTACCTTTGGCCTCTGGCTCAGAGCAAAGTCCCTCCTCTGCCCACCCCGAGGCTCGTGGATTCCCTGCTGGGGAGGGAGGGACACTGGGGGTGTGGGGAGGAGTTGGGACCCCAGCACTCACTTCCTGCTGCGCGTATTCCTCAGCTCCGGCTGCTTTTCCGAACTCGGTGTATTTCGTGGTGCAGTGCAGGACCCCGGGTGGCCTCTTCACGAAGTAGCTGGTGAGATCTATTTTTACTTTGGGATCATCAATAGCAGAAGCGACTGCAAATACAGGTAAAGAACATCACTGTCACAAAGTCCTCCCCCCAGTGTCACCCCGTGAGCCCAAGTCCCATCTCAAATCCCTTTCCCACCCTGTCCTTCACCTCATCTTTCTGGCTGCTGGGGAGCACTGGGTGGGTAGCTGAGCCCCTCCTCACCCCCAGGCTCACCACAGAGGTAGCCAGAGAACAGAATCCTCTGCATGTCAATGTGGCTTGTCTTAACCCCGATGATGTGAGTCCCTTAAGGGATAGGATTGTTCAGCCTTTCCCATTTCTCTCTGGCTCTGTCTTTGTCCCACGCAGCCCATCAGAACCAGGGGACACCTGGGACCCCACGTCCCACTGCTGCCACCTGAGCCTGGTGCCCTGTGGGGCCAGAACTGAAAAGACTTCTTGGGAAAAACCCTTTAATTTATTTTTACTTAAAAATCAACTTTGGCAGCGATGGGGACCAGGTTAGTAGCTTTAAAAAGCTTTTCTTGTTGACAAGTTCAACTAGAAATTGGCTTTAGGAGCTGATTAGACTTGTTAGCATCAACAGGTAAAAACATGGTAAGACCATGTCTATACATACAGTATTTACTCTCCTTTTTGAAGGCTTTGAGGCTCCCAAGCTCATCCAAGAAAGCCTGGCCGGCCTTTCTCAGGATCTCTGAACTTCTTTTGCTCAAAAACCACCCAAAATACATGGGGAGGAATTCCTTCTCCAAGCTTGGCTTCATCTTCTTCAGCTCTTCCACAGACAGTTTCCACTGGTTCTTGTCCTTCAGCTGGGGACAATCCAAGCGCCAGGGGGTTTTGGGCTCGGCGAAGATGACTTTGTACCGGTACTTGTCGGCAATGTCAAAGAGCTGCTCCAGCCGCTCCCGCTCGTGGTGAGTGTCATCCAAAACGATGACGCTGATCTCCCGTTTGCAATAGTCAACTAGATCCTCGTCCACCTTGGAGTACTCTTCGGGAATGGAGCTTCTTATTACCGGTGTGATTTTATAGTGATCGACAGAGATGACCTTGCAGGCGTCCTTGTACCGATCGTGGATGGCCTGGGCCAGGGTGGACTTCCCGCTGCCAGGCAGGCCCCGGAGGATGAAAAAGGTTTTGGATTCCTTGAGCGTGGAGATGGTGTCTTCGTCGTCCAGGAAGGGGAACTGCAAACTCTCAGGTCTCTCTTTCGCTGATTGAGTAGACATTTTTCTAAATATTTTAGGCAGGAAAGTGTGACTCTTCTTGGAGAAGCCTCTGTTCTGAAATGGGAGGAGAAAACACTTTGCAGGGCAGGAACCCCAGAGACCACGTGGCCCCACTGGGAGAGAGAGAGTGCAGGGAGCACCTTTCCCCCCATCCTCACTCGGGTGCCCTGCTGGGCTGAAATCCCCTCCCGCAGCTGCCCTGGCTGGACCTGCTCCTTGTCCCACCCACGGGCTGAAGGTGCAGCCCCGCTCCCCCTTCCAGGCCTCGGCAGCTGCAGTTCTGCCCCACCAGGAAGGGGAAGTTTTACCCACGGCGTGGCAGCAGCTCCTCGTGTGACAAATTGAGTCTGAGCACTTGAACAAACCCCTGTGCCTGCCGGATGCTGAGGGCGCAGCGAGACCCGGGGAAGCCCAAGGGGAACCGAAAGGCCCAGCAGGTGCTCTCAGAGCTGCCACACTCTCCTCCCTTCACCTGAATCACACACTCCATCCCCAGGGAAGGGGCTGTTTGCTAGAGCAGCCTGAAAGGATGATGCTGTCTCTGTCTGAGCTGCACTGGAGATCAGCGCCCGAGCGCTGAGGAGGAGGGAATTAGAGCTCCTCTTGGGAAGAGAAACTGAGTTTGCTTCCAGGAAAACCCAACCCCTCTTTGCAGCTGCCGGGGAGGGCAGAACTCGAAAGTGAAACCTCGAGTGCTGAAGGAAAGGAAACACTTTTGTCTGGCAGCAGCGAGCACGCTGCTGGGAGCTGGAGCTGGCACGGGCTCTCCCTCCCCTCCTGCCAGCAGCTCCTATAACTGGAATCCCAGATTAATTCCCAGCAGGGCCTGGGAAAACGCTGGGCTGGAAGGAAGTGAGGGGTTTCTCCAGCTGGGGGAGTTCACTATAGCATCAATGGGGCACTCGCTGGTTTTGGGTCAATAAATGAACTCTCCACCAGCCCAGCCTGAGACCCACTGGAGCCAAAGGCCATGGGAGTGATGCCCAAGGAGTGAGTTTTGCCTCTGATGCAAAATCGAGAGATTTTTTCGTAAAACCTGACTCCTCTGCCTGGGGCAGAAAGCTGCATTTCCTCTTTACAGACTGATGCTGTCGTTTAAAAAACCCCACTTTTCAGGTGCTGAATTTCCCCATCTCTTTATTCCAGAACTTGGAGGGGGGTTTGGTTCCAAATGCCTGGGGAGCAGGACCAGGACCCCACAGCTCCCACGGGCACTGCCTGCCCCAGGGTCAGCTGCAGGACGGAGACCCCGAGTGCTCTGGGGCTTGTGTGAAAAGAAATGGGCCCGCCAGAGCATCGGACACCCCCGAGCTCCAGAGACCCCCGGGCTCTCCAGGGACCTCTGCTGCCTTCCCAGTGGACTCGGGGCTCCCAGGTCCTCACAGAGGAGGAAGCAGGTGAGTCACCTGGAGCTCTGTTCTTGCTCGCAGTGCAGGTGCCCCGTTTGCCGGGGGGTCGCAGAGCCGGAGCCGGTGCCGTGCTGTCCCCGCACCGCGCTGTCCCCGCACCGCTCTGTCCCGCGGGCGGGGGCCGGGGCCGCTGTTCTGCCGCGGCAGCTGCTGAGGGGACTGAGGCGCTTTTCAGCCCCGCGAACAAAGGAACAATCACGGGCCCCCCCCGGGCCATTGTTCGCCGCCGGCTCGGGGACAACGGGCGCCTTCACGGCCCGGGCCGGGTGGACAAAGGCCCCGCAGAGCGCGGGGTGCGGGGTCCCTCCGGACAATCCCCCATTGAGCCCGGCCCGGCCCCCCCGCCGCCCCCACAAAGCTCCCGCTTGTCTCCGGCTCCCCGCGGGACAGGGGCTCGCGTGGATGGAGCGATCGCTCCCGGCTCTGGGCTGCCGGTGCCCCGGTGGCCCCCGGGGTGTGCCGGGACCCCCAGAACGGAGCCACGGGGACCCCGGGGCCGTTCTTGGGGCCCAGCTGCCCCCGCATCCCCTCAGACCCAGCGCCCACGTGTCGGCCACGCCGCGGGCGCTTCCTCCCCCCGGCAATCGCAACCACTGCCCGGGCGGAGCGGCCGTCCCGGTCCCCATCCCCATCCCGGCCCCGCTTACCATGGTGAGGGCAGCGGCTCCGGGGCGGCCGCCGGTGCGGAGCGGCGCGGCGCGGAAGCGGCTTTGGGGCGGGCGCGGCCGCAGCCCCTTTCATAGCCCCGGGGCTCGCCCGCCCCGCGGGGCTGGGACGAGCCCTCCCCTGGGGCTCAATCCCCGCCCCGCCCGGCCCGGCCCGGCCCGGGGATGCTGCCGGGACAGCCCTGGGCCGGGAGAGGGGATAAGAGGAGAGAGGAGGCTCTGAGAGCGGCGGCGGCTCAGCCCAGCTCCTTCCCTGCTCAGGACACACCACTCCACTGCTGGGTATGTCTCTTGTTCAACATTTATTATTTAATCTTCCCACCTCTGCTCTACTTTCCCCCGTTGCTGTCCTTCATTTCCATGTCCGTTTCCTCATCGCCGGCGTTTCCGTGTGCTTCTGTATCGTTCCCGCCTTCCTCTTTTGGCTTTTCATCTTGATTTCCCGTGTCTTGTTCCTCTTCTTCCCTCTCTCTGTCCTTCTCAGTCTTGTTTTTTGTGTTTTCTGTGTCGTTCCCATTTTTTTCTTCTGGCTTTTCATCTTTATTCCCCGTGTCTTGTTCCCCTTTCTCCCTCTCTGTGTCCTTCTTAAGCTTGTTAATTCTTGTTTTTTCACGATCTGGGGAGGAATAAGCAAATTTTAGCCAAGTCCCAGCACTCAGCAGTCGGCCCAGGCTCTTTCATCCCCACCAGGAATCTCTCGCTCTCAGGAGCCCCTGTTTGCTGGGACAGGAGGTGCTGGGAAGCAGCACCAAGGGGAGCAGCCCCAGGGTCTGCAGGCACAGAGCCCTGCCAGGACCCCTCACCAGGCCTGGGGAGGGCCGGGGTGTTGGTGACACCGGCCCCGGGGTGCAGGGGCCACTCAGGGAGCGCGCCCATCTGGACTTGCACCGAGATTTTAATTCAATACTTGGAAGGGAATGGGTGCTGTGGGAATCCTAAGGTGCAGCTGCTGTGCTCCAGAAGAGGCAAGTGGGGAGTTTTTCCATTTCTGGGGGCAGAGGTGGGAATGACAAGTACCTCTCCGGAAGGGAACCGTCGCTTCTTTGCCGCCTTCGCTCAGCTGCTTGATGTAGCTTTTGCTCACCTTATCCAAGGCCTGGAAGGGAGGTGGCTCTTAATAAAAGCCCTGGAATTGCAGTTACATACCCAAGTTTTTCCTCTTTCCTTTTGCTCTCTGCTGTCCTTTCCTACCATAAAACCCTTCATTTCTCCAGCATTACTGCCTGGAGTATCCCAGTTAGGAAAACAGCTGCTCATGGATGCTGTGCCCTGAGCTCCTCCTCCCTGCAGCAGCCCCCTTACCACAAGGATGGTGTTTTGAGCAGCCTGGTCAGGCACAAGCTTCGCCTTCTCCAGGGCACTTTCAAAGTTCAGGATTGCAGACCGGTAATCCTTTAATTTCACTGGAACACACAAGGATATCAGCTGGTTTAACCCAGGATCAGGAGAACCACCAGAGGTTGATCTGAGGGCTTGCTTTGGCTGTTAAATCCCAGAGATGTTATCAGAATGGCTTCTCCACCCTGAGAGCAAAACCTGTGCCCACCCCCTTACCTTGTGCCTGTGCCACCAGCACGGTGGCGTGGAGCTGCCACTCCACATCTCCCTCTTCATCCGCTGACTCCAGAGAATTCTCTCCACAGTCTAGGGCTGTTTCAGCATCACCCAGCTCGAGGTAACACCGGCCGATGTCATGGAACAGACAGGCCTTCTCCAGGTCGGATTTTGCCATTGGAATCCTCTTCTCCCAGCTTCAAGCAGAGTAAGACAGGCAGTTATCGACTGTCACTGGGTGCAGTTACAATTCAACCACTCATTTGACAGCTGAGGGTTCAGGTAGGAAAACCTCCCCAGCCCCTGCTGCAGTGGGAACACGCAGCTGCAAAGCCATGGCCTGGGTCAGTGCAGGCCCCCCCGTGGCCTTCCTGCTGGGCTGTACTCACGTGTTGATGGCCTGCTGGAACCTGCCGGTCCGGGCGTACACGCGGCCGATGTTGTCCAGGGCCCGGGACATGGAGTCGGGCAGAGCACTGGGACAGGGAGACAGAGGAGTTGTGGCACTGGAATTGTCCTGCTCCTGATTCACTCTGAGTCCCTTTGGTGTTCCCTGTGGCCTCAGGGAAGTGTTGGGGAGTAAAGGGCCCAGGTCAGACTGAAAGCCATGAAATTAAGGTCAATTTTTGATTCTATTTACAGCTGGCAACTGACCCCATGAGACACAGGGGAAGAGGTTAAGCTTTATCTTTGATTATTGTTATTTTTTGTGCAAATCTGGCATTCCTTGTAAAAGTCTTTCCACTTTTCTTTGTCTCAGTTTCCCTCTGGGTCCCTGGCGTTCATGGACGAACTCCGTCTTCCAAAGGGAAGACCCAAAAATGTGTCTGCAGGCTCCTGGCACCAGCCCTGCTCCCTGTGCTTGGACTGAGCTTTGCTCCATGCCACAGGCAGCTCCTATAACAACGGAGTCTGGGGGCTTTAGTTTTTTTTCCTTAATTATCCTTGCTCCTGTCTTTGGAAGTGGCTTTCCTCAGAGAGCGGCTCTCTCCTTAGAGAAGGAAAAAACCCCCGAGCGAAGCAGACAAATGAGATGGGAATCATGGAATAACCCACTGGTTTGAGTGGGAAGGGGCCCTGAGGATCATCCAGTTCCAGCTCCCCCGCCACGCGCTCATTAACGCGAATCATTAACGAGTCATTAACGGCGTTTCCAGCTGCGGCCGCCAGAGGGCGCGGCCCGCCCGTCACCGCGGCCTTTGGGTCCTTAAAGGAACTGGAAAAGGGTCCTAAAACCAGGTAACTCCTCCTGCCTCTCTCCTGCTAATTCCTGCCTTTATCTGGCGTACCTGGGGACTGGGACCGCCAGGAGAGAGGCCTCCATTTCCTAAAACAACATTCATTTCCAAAGGGATTTTTGAAAGTGAGAAACAACCCGGCAGGGACAGTTTGAAAGCCCGGTACCATAGTGGCAAAAATAAACCCCAAACCACTTCAATTCAAGCCACTATTCCATGTTTTCTCGTGTGCTTTGAAAACTGTTACTAAGACTACGTTTTGCTCCACTGTGGTTCAGCTGGAAGAGCTGCAGGATGTGTCCAGTGTGGGCAGGTAAGTGCACCTGGGAGAGACCTTCATTTCAAGCTGCTCTCATGGTCTGAATGAAAAGGGTTTCAAGACGAAATGTAGCAGAAAACTGGTGCAATTTCAAGCCTGAGCTTCCTGAGAAGGAAGTGTTTGCTCGAGGCTCAAGCGCTGAGACTGGGACTCGTGTTCTTTCACTTTGTTTCAGCAGAGGTTTCAGTGTGCCCTGGGCTCTAGGTCCTTGAAAATCCGCTTCAGGCTCCTTATTTTTGAAACAGTGAAGATATAAAGTCACCAGAGACCCTGATAGACGGGCAGAGCTGAATGTGTGGCCCTCCAGATGAGAATTACACCATTACCTGGTAGCTCAAACACCCCCACAGAGGTACTTTCCCCTTTCCCCGCCCGCCTGAACCTCCCAGCACTTACTTCTGCCTGGCACAATCCAGATCCCTCCTGTAGCTGCGCAGAGCTGCCTCCATCTGCCCCATCTCCGCCTGCGCGTTCCCGATGCAGCTGTGGAGCCTCCCAATCAGTTCACTCTTGTTGGGAACTTCATCCTCTGCCCACCCTTGTATCTTTTTCAGGACACGCTCAGCTTTCCTGCAGCTTTCCTCAGCAGAGCCTCTGGCCAGCACTGGGGACAGGGAGCTGAGTTTGACACCGGGGAGTGACACGGAGATATTGAGAAGTTGTGGATTCCCCAGCCCTGGGAGTGTTCCAGGCCAGGTTGGACGGGGGCTTGGAGCAACCTGGGCTAGTGGAAGGTATCCCTGCCTATGGCAGCTGGATGAGATTTACGGTCCCTTCCAACCCAAACCATCCCGGGATTCTGTGATACTGGGGAAGGGACACCCAGTGCAGGGGCAACCCTCAGGCAAAGGCTAGGAATGGTCAGAGCTCCCCAGAGCAGTGGGAGGCACTCAAGCTTCCAGCCAGGAACCTACTGAGCTCAATGTCCTCCATGTCCTTCGCGATGGATCTGGCAACTTCGGCCGGTTTCCGTCTCCCATCCCCCATCCACCTCTGCTGCAGGAGCCGCCGCTCGTACAGCCGGGCGTAGATCGGCTTCTGCTGCTGCCAGAAGTCCCGGCGCTGGTTCAGGTAGGAGATGCCATCCAAAACCAGGTCTTCGACTTTGCCCCCCTGCCTCATGTTGGTCTGCATCAAGTCTGGAAACGGGATAAGACGGAATCCGGGTGAGTATCAACGGACCTGAGGTGGGGGAATTGCTTGGGAATGTTCTTCTGGTCTGACAGAGGCAGTCCTGGAAACTAAAGTGTCCTGTGCTCCTCAGAGCTGAGCTGATGGGGGAGTTACCAGCATTTATATCGAGCCCACAGAGGAGTCACAGCCCCACGAGCAGCGCTCGGCACCGAGCGCCAGAGTCAGCGGGTTTGTCGTTGTGACAGAACTTCAGTCACTTACAACGAAGCTGTTTCTCTTCATTTCATCGGCACAGGTTGCTCTGAGTTGATTTATCGATGGGGAAGGAAATAAGCCCCTAGTTATAAATGCTGGACCTGGCTCCAAACCACCTGCCCGTGTCCAGCACCGCGTGCTACGTGAGCTCCGGCACGAGTAAGGAAGAGTCACAGGGACAACAACGAGGAGGAAAAAACAAAACAAAACAAGGATAAGAGAAAAAGAAAAACAGAACCTGCTTGGAAGGAACATATAGGTAAACACAATGGAGAAACACCTTCATCCTTGAGCAACTTCTGCAGGAAGGTCTTGTCATCATAGAGCTGTCCCAGAAGCTCTCGCTCTGTTTTTGGATTCTTCACACGCTGCTTCTTCTTCGTCCCTTTGTGGTCCTTAGTCGGTTTGGTTTGCAGTTTCTGGTTTCTGCTCTGCAGTGAGTAAAAAGCAAAGGAAGTTGGGGGAGCTCAGTGGGGAACACTGGAATGATCAGAATTCTCTTATGCTCCATAAAAGGCAGCTTATTTTTTAATTAAAAGCAAAAAGTCAGTGTCTCACCAGCTGCTTTGGTCACGAGCAAGTGAAATTCTGCAGCCAGTCGTGCTCCCTCAGGACTAAGAGGGTGTTACAGGAAAAGCAAGAACTACTTTTGGCCTCTTAGAGGAACAAGACCCTACTGCCATGGAGCACCCAGAAGTGAAGCAATTTAGAAAGTGTCCATTATCAAAACCGTGACCCTTCAGCTTTAGGCAAACCCAAAATCAATATTGGAGCTCGTGGCACCCTCCTGACCTCCAGCTGTTACTCATTAGCCTCGGGTGGGTGACCAGCAACACCCCCAGGAAGGGGCTGGGGGGGAATCCCACACTGGGCTTTGTTCCCCCCCATGGCTCTTCCTTGCCCTTCTGCATTCTCCTTTCAGTTCTGGGTAGCTTGAGCCAGACCTGCATTAGAAGCAGGTGATAAACACTCCTGATGGGTCAGTGTGTTTTAATGCTCAGGGAGCCCTTCAGCAGACCCGCTGTACAGCACCCGTGTCCCTGCAGGGACTGTCTCCCCTCCTGTGACCATTCCAGGCAGTTTTAGCGTTGCAACCCCTCTAGAAGCTTCTCCAGCCAGAGCTGTGTGCTGTACCTCTGCCTGCCTGCTCACGAAGCCCAGCTCCTCCTTGTTCTCCAGCTTCACCGAGGCTGGATCTGCAGACACAGAGGGGACCCGTGTCAGTGCCCACAGCAGCCACGCGGGCTCTTGTCAGCAAAATGCCCATAAAGGTGCCAACCCCAAAACGTTCAGTTTGAACTGAAGCTTCTCTGATCCTGCCGCGTGAAGCACAGGCAGGGAAGCACTTTGGGGATGTGCCCCGTTAATGTGTGTGCATTTCCCAACTATTCAAACATCCATATCCACGCTGTGTTTCCTTGCTTCCCTGCACCTTGGAGCTATTGATTGATTTTAAAAAAATCAGTTTTCTAGTTTTTTAATCCGCTCCTGTACCTGCAGCCCAGGGGCTCGAGGGAAGTTAAGAGATCTTGCCTTGAGCCCGGGAAGACTCCACTGGGAGCTGTGGCAACACCTGATCACCGTGCTAAGCTCAGGAAGCAGCAGGAATGGAGGAAAACAAGCCAGATGTGGAAACTTTCCCTGTTTTTTAAATAACTACTCTGTATGAAAGCGCCGCAGGCTCTGGCGCCACTGGCACGTGAGTTAATCCCTGGCACTGGGGGAGGGCTGGAGTTTGGAAATTTCGGGGGAGGGAGGCCTGGCCTATCTGGGGATCTGTGCAGGGTGTGAGCGGGGCGTGCTGGGCAGGGATAGGCTCAGGGATAGGCTCCGGGATGCTCTGGAGGTTCCAACTCGCCCGGCGGGTTTGGCAGCCCCGGGGTGGAGAGGGGGCTGAGCATGGGGCTCCCTGCACGTGTCAGCCCCAGGTGAGGGAGGTGTGTGTGTGCCCCAGACTGGCACAGACTGCCTGTGCCCAGCAGTGTGGCTGAAGAGAAAAACTGAGGGCCAAGTTCTCCGTGTGTTTGGAACCCCACGAGGTCTTTGGCCTCTCGTGTCTCTGCAGGACCCGCTGGTGATCCGAGCCAGGAGTGATGAAAGCAGAGCTCGTTGCAAGAGTCAACAGTTTCACTGCTCTTGTGCAATGGAAATTGGAGGAGAGTCAGGATTTCGGGAGGCCAGTCTCAGGTAGCATGGCACATTTCATTGCAAACTTTAAATATTGGGATAAAGATCTCAAAATTGATTCTGGCATTAGGTGGTCTCTGGAATTAGTGCTGGAGGTGGATCATAGAATTGGCAGAATCCCAGCATGGTTTGGGCTGGAAGGGACCTTAAAGCTCATCCAGTCCCACCCCCTGCCATGGGCAGGGACACCTTCCACTATCCCAGGTTGTTCCAACCTGGCCTTGGACACTTCCAGGGCTGGGGCAGCCACAGCTTCTCTGGGCTGCCTGTGCCAGGGCCTGCCCACCCTCACAGGGAAACATTTCTCCCCAGTACCCCAATTTACCCTGCCCTTTCTCAGCATGAACCAATCCCCCCTTGTCCTGGCACTTCAGGCCCTTGTAAATAGTCTCTGTCCACCTTTCTTCTTGGCTCCCCTCACACACTGGGAGGCCGCTGGTGAGATGATCTGCTCTGGTCTGTACTCTTTGCAACATTTCCATGGCAACTTTGGAAATTTTAGTATCAGGAGTTACCTACAGAACTGAAGGGATCAGATAGTGTGTGTGAATGGGCACTCAGGGGGGAAAGGAGGAAAAAAAGAACAGGGCTGGGCCTCTTTGTGATGCTTCCTGGTGCTTCTGGGTTCACCTGCCACCGAGCACGTGGACCCAGGAGCAGCAGGGCTGTGGTGTGGGGCCCTTGGGTCACTGTCAGAGCTGATCTGCCATCGGCTGTGCCCTGAACAGCGTCAGCCAGGCTCGTGGGGGCCGGGAAGTGGCACTCCTTACTGCCAATGCAGTTCATAATTGCCTCCTCTGCCTTGTTGATGCCCAGCTGGAACTTGTTCTGGTCCGGGCGGAGCCTCCGGCCTCGATGGTAAAACACCAGCGCGAACTCGAAGTCCCCCATGGTGTAGAGGGTCTCTGCCTTTTGGTAAAGCCCCTGAAACAACATTTGGGAAAAGAAATGATTAAAAAAAAGAGTCCTGTCGTGGACCTCAAGTAACTCCTGACAGGCAGAAGGGAGAGCCCAGGGGTGTCACAACCTGAGTACAACAAACCCCAGTCCTGGAGCTGACTGAGCACCTCCTCTGCTCCAAGAGCAGCAGAAAGTGCTTGGAGTGTTTGGAGTGAGCTGTTCCCTCCCAGCTCTGCCTCAGACCCTGCAGGGACTCACAGATCCAGGCCAGCCCTTGTCCCCCCACTCTCACCACTTCCTCCGGTTACCTCAGTGAACGCTTTGTCTCTTTGGAGCGAGGCTTCAGCATCCTTCAAGGAGTTTTCTGTGTCCCCAAGTTTCAGGAAGCACTTGGAGCGGGTGATAAGGCACTGCTTGTCCCCTGCCCTCAGCTTCAGCGCCTGGAACCACAGACATGGACACATCATCAGCGCTGGACGTGCCACCAGTGCTGCCTCAACCCCACAAACACACAAGTGCAGGTATTTGGTGCCACCTGCGCAGTCTCCACATGGATCCTGATGACAGATGATGATAAAACCCCAGGATTTTTATTGAAAAGAGCTTTCCGCCACCTCTTCTCCCTCCCCTTTGAGGCCCGCCCCGCCCCGGGCATTCCGGTGCCCCCGGGCCGCGCCGCCACCGCGGTGCCCTTACATTGTTGAAGCATCCCAACGCCTTGTGGTGCTGCCCGCGCCGGCTCAGCGTCGTCCCCTCGGTGATGAGGCTGCCGAAGGTGACGATGGGCCCGGGGTCCGGCTCCGCCATGGCCGCGCCGCGCCGCCGTTGCCAGGCAACGAGAAAACTTCCGGTGGAGCCCCCGCCCCCTGGAGTGACGTCAAGCGCGCCCGGTCAGTGCCCACGCGTGTCCCGGTACTGCGGGAGAGGCCCCGGTGCCGACACCGGCACCGACACCTGACCCTGTGGCCCGGCCCGGCCTGGTGTCCGTGCCGTTCTGTTCCCGGAGCCCTGGGCGGTCTCGGTGCCAGCCGCGGTGCCGAACGCCGGGCACGGCCGGTTCCTCCTGCAGGGCCAGCACGGGGGGCAGCCGCCGCCCTCCCCATCCCACCCGCAATCGGTTATTCGGGACCGTTTGGCGCTCGCGGGTGGCCCCGGTACCGGTTTCGCCGCTGCAGTGGCCAGTCCTGGCCAAATAAATGACTAACGGGAAACGCTGCTGGTTCCCTCCCGTCTGCGCTCAAGTCCCGACTTTATTTTGGCGCTGGGTGAGACCTCGCGCCAGGATTCGCGTTCGAGACAATTTGTTCCTGCCAAGTGATTCACGGGGAGGGGGTTAAGTGTCTGTCCGGCTCGAGGCCGGTGACATTTAACGTCACCATGAGGCAATCCGCGGTGCCGGGGCTGTCCCGGGCCGGGCCGGCCTCAGCGGGGGCGGGAGGCGGGGTGGGGGTCACGCCAGGGTGGGGAGACAGAAGGGGCCGAGCCTCGGAGTGGGAGGCTGGTGTGACACACCCCGTCCCCGGAGAGCCGCGCAGGGGATTTCGGGCCGTTGAAGCTTTCGGGAGTAGTTTTCCAGGGATACTTTCCCCACTGGCAGCGCCGGGCGCGACACGCTGTGCCCAGCGAGGTGGGCAGGAGCATCGTGTCCGTGGGGCTGTCGCGGGGCTGCGCCCGGCCTGGTGACACCGTCACGGTGGCACGGCAGCCCGGTCTGAGGATGATGTGTTAGTCACAGGCTGGAAATATCAGGGGAAAAGTGAACGTGGGATGGGTGTTTTCTGGGAAAGCAGCAAAGCCGTGACGGCCGCCGTGAGAGGCTGGTGAGGAAAACGGCACAACGGGGGAGGCAGGACGGCCTTGCCCCCAGCGTTCCCGGTGCCTCGGGAAGTTCCATGAGCCTCCAGTTGGCCGCCTCCCCCGGGGACCGCGCTCCAGCGGTGGGACCGGAGAACCGGCTCCGGGGGCTCCGGCCACTCCCCCGTGGGCACCGCCCGCCCGCGCAGTAGCAGCGCGCCCGCCGGGAGGCTCCTCGGCCCGTACCGGCGCCGGGGAACGAGCCCCGCTCCCGGTGCCGGTGACGCCATCTGGGGCTCGGTGACCTCAGCGGCGGGGGGAAGGGGGGGGTCACGGCCGCGGGCGCCGCCGGTGGTCGGGGCTGAGTGGGCGGGACTACAACTCCCACAAGGCCGCGCGGCCGCGCCCCACCCGCGGCGGCCAATGGGCGCGCGGCCGGCGCTCAGGCAAGGCGCACGTGGCGGCGGCGGCGGCCAATGGGCGGCGGCGGCGGCCGTGACCCGATGGGCCGGGGGGGGCCGCGCTCGGCGGACAAAAGGCGGCGGCGGCGGCGGGAGCGCGGCCGGGCGAGAGCGGAGCCGGGCAGAGCGGGCGAGCGGCGCCAGGGTGAGTGCGGGGAGGGGGGTCGGGCCCCGCCGCTGCCGAAGGGGGGGGTGGTCCGCCCGGTCCCGGAGAGCGGCCGCGGCTCTGCCCGGCACATGGTGGCGGGGCCTCGCGGGGCCGCTCCCTTGGGGCGGCGGTGGATGGAGCTGCGGGTCGGGAGCCGCCGTGGTTCCGGCCGGCCCCGGCCCCACCGGCTCGCTGGAGGGCGGGGCGGGCCCCGGGAGCGCCGTGGGCTTGCTCGAGCGGCGGGTGCGTGGCCGGAGCGGAGCCCCGCGCTCCCGCCGGCACCGCCGCCCTGACCTTGCCGGGGTGTCCCCGCAGCGGTGCCGGTGTCCGGGGCGCGCTGGGGCGCGGGCGGTGTGCGGGGGCATCAGCGAGGGGCTGGGAAGGGGCTCCGGGCTGTGCCCGCGGCAGCTCCGCGCTCCGGCTTTGGGCGTCTGTTCCCTTCCCAGCCCGCTCCGGGAGGGCCTTGGCTAAAAGCACCTGCATCCCCTGCCAGAAGGAAAATCCCTTCGTGGGCATCCTGGAGGAGCAGCCCCGTGTCGGGATCTCGCTGCTCCTGTACGAGCAGGAGAGTGATCAGCGCGTGTGTCTCTCCCTTCCCGGGTCCGGTGGCTGTGTTCCAGCTCTGCTGTTTGCTGCCTGCAAACACCTCCTGTTTGTCTTGCTGCTTTCGAAATTCTCATCCTGCTGTAAGGACTCTCCCATCCCTCTGAACTGTTTGCTTTCTGCAGCAGCGTCTGAAAGGCTGAGGTGCATCCTGAATATCCTGTTTGCAGGTGTTTGTGCTCGTTCTTATCCCTAGCTGGATTTGGAGCTCAGAGCATCAGCTCTGCTGCCCAGTGCTGTGATCCAAACCCTGCTGAGTGTCCTGCATGTGAGGCTCTGCAGCTCTCTCCATGTAGCTGGGCTTTTCCCACCTTTCCAGTGCTGCCTGAAGTGATTCCCAACAGCCTCGGTTGGGAGTTCTGCCAGGGAACCCTCCACCGCCTCCACTGTGCCAGTGACACGGGAAGGATTTAAGGAATAAACATGTGAAGGACCTTCCCAAAGCTGCAGAATAAGATGGCCTTTAACAGCGGGGTTCCAAATTCCCCACTCGTGGCACTGGGCTCTCACCAGTGTTTTCCCTCCCCTGGCTGCTGTGCTGCTCCCGGGGGTTCCACGTGTGCAGGGAGCCTCCCCCAGAGCTGGGCAGGCAGCACCTTGCTTGCATCACCCCGCACGGCGTTTCCCAACCGCGGGAGCGGGACCGTGACCCCGCACCGGCCCCTCGCTGCGCTCTGCTGAAACACGGGCACTGCCAGGTGGGGGCTGATGTAACTCTTGGTGCTGCCGTGGGCTGAAAATACTGGCTGGGCTTGAACTGCGTTTAATAAGTGACCCGGGATGGAGTGGGAAGGCTGCTTTACCCTGTGAGTTTGTTGACATAATTCTCGGGAGAGCGGGCGAGAAGTCTTCGCTGGGGAGGGAAGTCCTTTCCTCCTGGCAGAAGCGCCGTTCAGGTGGGATTGGAGCACGGTACCGATCCAGATCTAAGAGAATTCCACGCCTGAGCACCATGTTCTGGTGGAGTTACACCTCTGCAACCAAGAAGGGGTTTGAATTAAAGCAAACCAAATCAGTGTCTTTAATGCCTTTTTCTCCCCTTACAGAGCAGACTCTGGGGAATCAGGGAGACTTTACCTGGATTCTGTGTCAGGAATGCCTCCCTGTTTCTCCATTTGTGTTTCCTGTTGCATGTTCCCTTCAGCTGGTTCTGATGCATTGGGGCAGGTGTATCAGTTGCATCACAGCAAACACAACATCCAGGTCTAGGATCCTTGCCTGCCTCCTGCCATCCTGCTGTTTTTCTCTGTCAGTACATGTGGGGAGCGTTTCCCAAATATAAACCTCTTAGCATATTGGACAGGTAATGTTTTGAGGGAATAAGAGCTGATAAGCTCCCAAAAATGTGCTCTAATCCGTGTCTCTTACTTGCTCTGGACTTGCCAGCAAAGGCTGGAATCCAGCACTTCTTGAATCAGTGGGTATGGGTGATGAGAGGTCTCTGAGATGTTGCAGGGAAGCTGTTTGTGTTGGAGCCTCAGTAAATGAACACAAACCTGTGGCACTTCCAGAAAGAACTTATTTTTAAACCAGTCAAACCACTTACACTTGTCAAACCAAGACAAGGTGTGTGACATCCATTCAGAGGGAGCTCTGCTTCCTGAGCCAAGGACAGTGTCCTTCAAACACAGGGATGGCCCTGGTGACCCAGACTGGCCCCAGAGCTGACCCTGCTTCGAGCCTGAGGCTGGGCTGGGTATCCTCCTGAGTCCCCTCTAACCTCAACTGTTGTGTGATCTGAGGATCCATCACATTTTAACTGAAAACTTCACGGCGTGTGCTGTGGGAATTGCTTTAAAGTGGCAGCAGATCGTCCTTCACTCGGCAGATTTGGCCAGCAACCAGCTGTGCTTCCATCATGGACCCTTCAAAGGGAAAGGCAAGGCAGTTTGTAACTGGCTCTGAAGGGCTGTGGTAATGCAGGTACGGTGTCCAGGGAATCATCGCAGGCAGCTGGAGAGGCAGCACAAGTTAGAAACTGAATTCCATCTGCCCCTGACCAAAACCTCGTGCAGCGGAGGTTGCACAGTGGGAGGACACTGGAAAAGGCTTTTTGTGCTTGCTGACATGAATCTGCCGTCGTGTGTGGTGGGTGCAAGGTCTGGGACTTGAAGTGGTGAGAAAACTGCAGGTCAGTCTTGGCTAATGAATGATGAACAGAGCAGTGTCTGGGTGTGAAGCGGTGAAAAGGAACGTTGTTACCCCACAGCTTGTGTTTGGGACAGAGAAAGGGACTTTTCTTTCCTCTCTCTCTTCAGAGGTGCAGCCGTTGCTCTCTCCAGCGCTGGTTGGCACTGCAGGTGCTAGGCGTGACTGAAAATAAGGTTATCCCTGGCAGATGAGAGTGTGAACCTGCCCCATTCCTGGGGAACTGCAGAGACCGTGTTGTGGTGACTTCAGTCCGTGCCCCTGCTCGGTGTTTGCAGAACAGATGCAGCGAGTTAATGGAGGTGCTCTGATCGGGTTGTCAAGGGACCTGCACGAGCACACACAGCAACCAGGAATTGCTGATGCCCTATGGATTATTTTTTTTTCCTGCTGATCTCTTAGCTTAACAGTTCAGCAGACTGAAGCAATTGTTTTGTGCCGTGTGTCCCAACAGAAAGGCGGGGTTGGAGCAGCGGAAGAACTGAGTGAGGGGTGTGATTAAAGACTTGCCAGTGTTTAGGAAATGTGAACCTCGGGCAGATAAGGTCAGAACAGCTTCATTCCTGCCGTTCTGTTGCCATGGCATGAGGATGTTGTTATTTTTCATCTACTGCTATTGTAATAATCCTCTAGTTTCCTTTCTTTGCCCCAGTAGTGTTACTGCAAAGATGAGGTGATGACCAGGAATGGTTCTGAGAGGAGCAGCTCCACTCTCCTGGGAGTGCCCCACGCTTTGTGTCCCTTGGGTTTAAGGAATCCCGTTTCTGTCACTTGTTCCTGCTGATGGTT